TTCAGGTAACGTGAAGCAGAGTCAGGCCCTGCCCTTACTAAAAATGCTCTATTCGCTGCTCCCTCTGCTGGCTCTTGGTGCAGATGCCTGAACACAAAAGCAGATGCAAACAGAGCCACTTCCAACCCTATCACAGCTAAGCGCCTGGCAGGTGCAATCAGTGGGTATTATGTGAAAATGGAAGAGAAAAAAAACTAATATCCATGATATTTTGAAATCCTGGAGGATATAGTATAAGACATGATTTTTTTTAAAGCTAAAGTACTTAAAAATGTAGAAGCCCATGAAAAATCAGATTATCAAAAACTTTTTAATTTCAAGATTTCGGAGGGAACACAGCATCTGACATAGAAGGTGTCAACAGGTCATGAAAGTCCAACTTACAGGTGGGATCTAGGCCAAGTCAGCAGAGAACAAGGACTCCTATCTGCCGGATGCCAAGCCGTATCTCCCCTCAAATTCAGGTTTCATCATGAATCTATCTACCCCATATCCAGTACTTAAGTGACATCTAAAAATCTGTTCACAGCACTTGCTTTGGAAGTATCCATCAAAGTTCATAAAAAAGTACTTTTTGGCTACTTTCACCTCTTAATCAGGTGGCAAAAAGAAAACCCTTTTCTGTAGTTCACTAGGTGCTAGCCTGCAACAGGACATTCCCGAGCACCGTGCACGAGCTCCTGTCACCAGGCTAACAGCCCACACTACGTGTCCTCCTCACATGCCAGGGGGTGGGCAGGCTGCCAGCTGGGAGACCTCGCTGCTGGATTTCAGTGCAAAACCAAAGGACAGCAATGAGCTGAGACAAGAATTTCCCAGGCAGATTCTTCACGCTTAAATAGCCCACGAAATATTTTAAAGGTCTGTATGTGCGTGTATGCATACATGAATCTGTCTATATTTGGCCATCTTGTAGCACTGAGGTAGGACACTATCAGCTTAAATTCCACCAGGGTTTTTGACCAGAGGCACCCTATTTGCCCTCACCGACATAGCTGCAAAGCTTGTATAATACCCTGACTGTCAACAGGGTTTAGTGGGTAATACCACTTCCATAGTGTTGATACGTGACCCAACACAGAATCATGCTATTGCCCAGGACAACAAAACCACTAATCATGTCGGACAAGAAGCGATAAAGATTTCAAGAGACTTTGGGTGTAATCAGGCGCATTACTTCCATTTTCAATCCTCATCGTCCAGCTGCTCAGATATCTTCCCGCTCCTCTAGAAAAATGGGCTTCCCAGTCCAGCCCAACTCCTTCCTCCCTCACTCCCCTTCCCAGACACACAGACTTCCCATGCACAGGAGCTCTGCTCAGGCCCTTTTGCTGGGCAGAACGAGAAGAGGCAGCTGAGCAGTAAGTGTGGAAGCTTGTCTTGCTTCCTGGCCTTCCATCCCTCCCCACCGAAGGGCCATGCAAATACTGCTCCCCAGTTCTGCAGGGAATCAAGCTTAACCATACTTGGTGGCACAGGATAGGGTATAGGACTAGCCTTATGAATACCATGAGAGTATTAACACCTAATAAATTTAGCATCCGAAAATCACAGGATTACCATCATAGCATACATAGGCAGTAGCCCATGCCTGTGGGGATTTATTTCATATTTACACTACTGTTCATAAGAGTCTTGGTCCCTATACTATAATGACTCATGTAATGGCCTGAATTCATTACAGTGATGAAAACTTGGATGCTGTTGAGCCATAAGGATCGGTCTGAAGATATGACATGAATGTACCACTGAAAGATGAAGACCAGCCTATGTGCAATTAAATATCAGGAATACTTTATATGATTCATAAGGGCTTAGCAATAATATTGACTCTATTGGCCTTGAAGTAGATATTGTAAGTAAGCTGAGGCAATGCTGTATTTCTACCACATAGCTCTTAGATAGGACAGAGGATACTTAAAATTCTATTAACATGAAAATTGTTACATCCTTGATCAAACAATTTCACTAAGACACTCCATGCTCTTAACTGTATGTATGCTTGAGCAGGGAAGTTGGACTAGATGGTCTCTACAGGTCCCTTCCAACCTCGATCATTCTGTGATTCTGTAACTCAAAGCACAACAAGAGAAGACAATGGGCAGTCAAGGGCTGCATCAGCAACTTCTATTCCAGTGTTCTGATCTTTACAGCTTTGGCTGTAGCTATTCCTAAAACAAAACACTTCACAAATAAAAGCAACAGACCTAGACAATAAAAGCAATTGGTTCTATTGAGAAGCAAGCAGAAACTGCCCCAAGAAAAACATTGTAGTGCACTTTACAAAAACTGTAAAGACTGTGTTGGAACATGTTTGTTTTCCTCTTTAGATATTGGTATTACTAAACATGAGATTTTCTCTCACTGAGCTGGGCCATGCACTTTGCTACCTACAGCTTCAAGATACCAACACTGCAAATATAAGTTATAGCTATAAATACTACATTATTACTAAATGATTTATTATGTTCTTGGACTATTGCCCTGTTCACAACACAACAGTTGGATTCTACTTACTGACCAGCTGCTGACTAGCTATGATTCATCTCCCTCAAAATCCTAGGTCTGCGCACCTCCCAAATCATGCAGAAGTCCCAACTTACCTCTATAATAACCCACAGCAAAAGCCCAGATGCAATAAAGGAAGGATTCACTCCCACCTGTGCTGATCCCACTGATTGCTGGATGGAAAATTTTTGGAGCTAAGATCCCCTTCTGTGTTTGTTATATTGGCAATCTTACTAGGAGTCCTTTTGAATAATTAATAAAACATAATAAAACTTAGGTTTAGCCAGAATTTGATGCGGTGGAATTGCACTGCCTGCACATAGTGTAGTACTTATGTATAAGCAGTTCAAAAACCTCCTGTATAAAAGTCAGCTATTCCGCATATTAATCCAGCACAAGCACAGCAAACTGTGGCTAGCACTGAGAGCGGCTCTAAGACGTGTGCAAGGCATCCAAGATCTGTGCATAGTGAAACCACAATTTCTTCAAAGTTTACTAGAGGTATCTTCTATTTCTCATTTCTATGCTTCTCTGGGGGATCTTAAATTGCCACATCTGTGCTCCACATAATCGTCTTATGTTTAACTAAGGAATAAAGAGGCATGAAGTAGGCAGAAAATGAGAGTCCTAGGTTCAGCCTTAGGCTTCACCATAGTAGCCTCCGAAAAAAAAATACAGTGTTTCTGTTGCCCATGTTGCAAATAAAATAAACCATGTTTTTCTCAGCATTGGCAAAGGCTACTTTTAAATGGATTTCCAATGTTTTCCATAGGTTTTATACTTTTAAAACAATGAAGGGGAAAATCCCTTTTTTTGGCCAGTAAGTCTGTTTTGGATATTCACAGATGGAGAGAAATTATTTTGTGGTGCAACTTATAAAGAAAGTTAATCACTAGATGGAAAATTGTTTGAAAATATATTTAAATATAGAGCAGTATAACTTCCCTTACTTGGCTGCCACCGGCAATGCAACAGAAGAGGTGCAGAAAAGAGCAGGAAAACAAGAGATGGACATGCTGAGGTCTCTTTATCTGATAACTTTGTGGTAATTGCCTTTCATGCCCTGTGGCATATAGGATGCACTAATTTGGCTTTCCATGAGGAAAGCAAAAAAGCATAATGCAAATAAAGAAGTGTCAAACTCTACACTACTGTTTCACCTTACTAAATCACTAAGGCACAGCACTGTTGGCATCATCACAAAATATCACACAGAGATTTCTATAGGGTCCAACCATCCTTGTCCTAGAGCTGAGTCTCATTTCCGTCAGCGTAACCTGACTGATTTCAACAGTTCTTTCTGTCTGACTCTCTACAAGGTCTGGTTCTATTTCCTGACCAAGGTTTTGTCCTTGGTTTGAACCCCAACTGAATGGTTATAGGCCTTTCTTCCTCTCATCCGACTGCCTGTTGACATCTCCTATCTTGAAGATAGAGGGCCTTCAGAAACCCATGTCTGCCAAAATCAACAAGAATTTTGCCTCTGACTTTACTGGGGTTGTAAACTGTGTCTTTATCTTCTCTTCCTCCCTCTTCACCAACCACTACATGGAAGCAAAGTCATCAGTATTCTTGTGCATAGCTCAGTTCCCAGACACCACCTTCTGTCAAACAGGTTTTTTTCAATATTCTTTATTTATATTTGGGGGTTTTCCTCTGTACTGTCCATACTGACAGTGTCTCGCCTCTTGAAAACCACATTCAGTTGTGAGTGTGCATTCCCTCTTTCTCATAACAGCTGACCCCAAAGACAGCAAGCCTTTACTGTGAGCTGCAAGGAAGAATGCCTCACAGTGTGCTCTACCTGACACACATCTGCTTTATACTCACTCATTCAGCATCCAGACTCTTGACTGCCACGGTTTATGGTGGAGAAGCTGTACCAAGGACAAGAGTGAAAGAATTGGACTCAGGTACAGCTCCCTGAGGACTAAGGTGCATGTCAGCATACACACATACACAAATGTGGCATATCCTCCCTAACTATTATTATTTGCTGTTTAAAATGCATTGGCATCCTTGGTTCACAAGCCTGTTACAAAAATTATCAGTACTGTTCTGCACATATAACAAAGAGTTGTCTTCCTTGCAAAGAGTAGGCAGTGGATGCCAGAGTACGATTTGTTATTACTAACACATTGACACAAATAATTAGTAATAAATTGATCCTTTACATCTGTATGGACTTACTAGCAGAGCACAGGATTCACCTCTGCAGAAGGTAAATTCAGCTTCCATTGCATTCAATATAAGTTGTACCTATTTCTAGAAGAGGCAAGTTGTTCACAGAGCTTTTGGTGGCTGTCATTACAGCAAATTGAGAAAGGTGCAAAGATGCAAAGGGAAATGGATAGAAAGAGGCAAAGGTACAGCCCAGAAAGGTGCAAAGATGCAAAGGGAAATGAGGCAAAGGTACAGCCCAAGCCTAAATGCCAGGTCGCAGGTCTGCCAGCTGCTCTGCAGCACAGGCAAGAGAGAGGACAAATGCCTACCAGGTTTAATTTCCAGCAGCTTCAGCCTGGAGTCCTCAGGGGGATGCAAACGCCTCTTTTTGCGCCAGCAGCGAGCCGGGTACGTGTACAGCTGACCTGGGGCCAGACCTGAAGATAAAAGGCAAAAAATAATTACAATCACATTTCAGTTTGTAAACCGCAAGCACTGGCTCTGGCATTTTTGTTCTTGCCCTCCCAGGATCCCTCTGTTGGAGGGTTCAGTCCTGTAAATTGTGAGACAGAACTATGCAGTCAAAGCTTACAGTGCTCCAAAGGTTCCTCAGCACCTCATGGGATCAGGCCTACAGAGAATCTAGGTCTCACTCATACACGTCACTCTGCTCACTGAAACCAGAGCTTCACATAAATAATTTGTTTTTTCTTCGGGGTAAATAGAATCTCAGGCTCTCCTGGGTCACAGAAGTGATGCCTCCTCCATAGGCAAACGGGGCCCCTTGGGAGAGAAGAGATAAAGTTCCTACACACAAATCGTAGGGGCCCAGTGCAGAGACCAGCTCAGGGAATTTGTGTCTTCAGAGCAGCAGGTGTCTAAGGTCCGTTCAGTCTGGTTATTTGGACTCTGGAATTTTGCTTAAATTCTTGACTTTTATTTAAAGACAGATTCTTTTGTGTCATTACTACCTTCCTCAAGCACACACCTTAAAGGAGGGAGGAGATACAGTAGCAATCGTTGTATTACGGCCTGCTTTGCTGAATCACATTTGGCATTGCTGGCCTGGGTACGAGCTGCTCCGGCCCTCATGGCAGACAGCCGTCACCAGGCCTCTCTATCCACCACTTCTGCTTTGGCTCTTCCGTCCTTCCGCAGTTGCTGTTAGAGAGCAGGACTGCCTTTGCAGACTCACTGCCCTCAGAAAACAGACAAGGCCACAAGTAGACAGGCCAGGGTGGTGTTACCATCTCCGAAGCAGCTCGAGCTGTGGGTGGCTGGTCAGCACCGAGGCAGGCGCAGGAAAGTGGAAGAGCTTAAAGGCAGCAGGACGGCCCAAGAGTCCCCAGGCTCCCTTCCAAAACACCCGGGAAAGGGAGCAGCCAAAGAGCAAGACTGACTCCCTGAACCAGATGAGGATAATGCAAGTAAATGATATCCTATTACTCAGGGAAAAAAAAAAGAAAGAAAAAGAGAGAGCGAGTGAGGTTGAGAAAGAACAAAATTATTCACCTCGAGCTCTCATTTTGAAATATTTTTGCTGTTGGGAGCACCAGTTCAAATGCTTGGCACTCCCCAGCCACTTCCAGGCCCTGGTGCCTAAATAGAGCATCCACACAACACACTGCCTGGGTAAGGCTGGCAGAAGGAGTGTTTGCAGGTCCTGCCCACACCAGAGCACGGAGCAGGGCTGCACTGGGACTTGTGGCACCCTTGCTGAATTGTTGCACACATTCCTGGGCATTGTGTCCACCCCAAAGCAAGATGCATTTCAGAGCGGGACACATCCAGCCCATGACTGGTTTGGGAATACAAACCCGTGAATAATCAGAACTTTTACAGTGCTTGACACACTTCTTCACAGCAATTTGCAAACATTACCCACCATGAACAATCGCTATTATGATGGGGTGGATTGTGCCTGCCTGATGTGAGTCATTACAGAGGTGGAGGCAAAGAGCCTCACCCTTTTAGAGCAGGTCCTGTGCAAGAGCCTGCTCATAGCACTGAGGTAGGGAGTTGCTAGACCAAAGCAGCAGGACAGAGAATCAACCCTTCATTGCACAGGCCTCTACAGAAGAGTCCTTTGAATGAAACAAGTGCCTCAGATTTGAACATTTGTCCTGGACAGGGAGGAACAAGGATTCGCTGCAGTTTGGGGGGAGTTTCTGTTGGTGTTGTTTCAATTATTGAGTATTTTCATATGAGTCATCAGTTCTGGATTCAGGCAGACCAGTGGAACTCTGCCACAAAATGCTGAAAGCCCCATGGGAAACAAACCAGGTATTCACAAAAAGACAGAGGTGGGAAAGCATCTTCCCTAAAGGGCCTTCAGCCCACGCTGGGCAGACCCGTAAGTTCCACAGACCTTCAACATTCACCTCTGCATTCCTTAAGAAAGCTCTCCATTCCTATTCCCAATTTCCTTGCTCATAGGTAGGAAGCACTTGGAGAACTTAACCAGTGCCCTACCTTCCCTTGATGCAAATCCATCCTTCAGCTCTCAACCCACTCAACCCAGACCCCCATTCTCCCTGTGGCAGCTCACATGAAGCGTAGAGCTTTGCTCACTTGCATAAGCAACAAGAAAAGAGCCCATTCTGAGCCCTTGGAAACTCCACCATGGATCTTGCAGTGCACATGGCAACCGTGCACACGCAGGTCTTGCTGCTTGTGGTCCTGGCGCAGTTGTCTCTCCCACTGGTGCCTTATAGGGCAACCAGAGAAGGTTCCAGCCATTTGCTTATAGAGGAAATAGCAGAACCTGCAGTGAGTTATGTTGTTTATCTCATTAGTGTAGGAGAGTCATAACTCAAAGCTTGTGTGAAAGGCCGGGGGAGGAGGGGAAAGAGGGAGGGAGGGGGTTCTGAGCAGTATTGTGTGAAATTAACCCTGAACTGTTTATCGTGAGATGCAGTTTTCTGACTCCTGTAACAAAGAGGACAGCAAGAAACTAGATTAGTATGAGATTCAGACTCTCCTCTCTGCCTTTAAGCTCTCTGGAAGCGAGAAGAGGTCCTGGAGCTTTTCCACTTGCCTTTATACAGTTTTCCAGCTAGGGATGGTAAATGGCAGTGAACACAGTGCAAAAGCCAAACACCAGAGTGGGTGGCAGGGAATTTTCAGAACTGTTCAGTACGGCACAAGTGCATTGTGTACAGCCTAAAAACAGCCAGGCTAAGACTATAGAGGGATTCTTTGACCCACCATAATGATACCACAAGAAATAGATGGTGCAAAGAGACCCAGGGGAGCACTAAATAGGCTAATAAAAATCAAGAAAGAACAGAGCAAATATGGGGGAGGAGGGCTGCTTCATTCTGCGCTGATTATTCTCATTCAAAATAACAAAGGAGTCAGATTTGGTCACACAAGCAGAAGCAAGAGGCTTGATTCCCTTCGGATTCTCCCGGAAGAAAGTTCCACCATTAGCCCCTCTGCAGCCCTGCAGCAGAAACACTACGGATCATAAATAAGAAAAGAAAGATTCGCACAGAGAACTTGCTCTGAGTAGTCCAGAGAGCCGGTGACTAGGAAGGTCAAATATTTAGACCTCTTAATTCCTGGTTTGATGACTTAACACCTTATAATGATTTCTCCTGTAAGTGCAGAGACACCAGGGAGACCTACACAAGACTGCCTATGTCTATTCTTGTAGCAGATGCTCCTCCCAAAACATTGCTCGTGCATATAGTGGATGCATACTTGCTTACGACTGAGTTCAAAAGAGTAAAAATAGCAGCACCTTACTCACAGCCAGATGCTCCAAGACCAGAAATTTCTTGGGTTAACAGATTATCAAAAAAACAAAAAGCTTGTTTTGCCACAGCATAATCTCTTAGGAATGAGGAATTTTCATATGAAAAAAAAAAAAAAAGGAACAAAGGAACCTGTGAAAGGAGGGTTAGCCCGGAAACTCAGACAACTTCCAACTCATAAACCACATTTAGCGGTCCCGGATTCCCCCATAGTTTTGGCAGCTTAAGTATTCTTAGGGTATTTTTAGCCCTGGAGTGAGAGCCACCTGCTGTCTCTCGCACCAGAAGTGGCTGAATTTTACTACAGAAAGCGTTTACTACTGCAGTGTAAGACTTAGACCTTATATCTACTTCAGATATTTTAGGAAGGCATTGCAAAGACCCTTTCCTCACTACATTCCTGTGAAAGGGAGAGGGAAACTTCCAGCTAAGCACTTGTGTCTGTGCCACAATTGCTTTCTTAGCCCATCCGCAGGGGCCATACATGCTCCTTTCGCCCCACCTCCTGCAAACCGGCCGCTCGGGGACAGCACAGCAGCCTGGCCTTCCCAGGCCTGGAGATGGTTGCTGCTTGTTATTTTTTTCAGTGTAGTTTACAGAAATTGGCATATATTCATGCATACCTACGCACATCCTTCAGTGCCCATCCACTCAGCCCCCTCCATAATAAAAATTCAAAATTCCTTCTAGATCCCACCAGTTCTGTCCGACTGACATCTCCAGTCTTTGAACTTGTGACTGTCCTTTGCCTTGAAAATAAGGGCTTCAGATGGATTTACTCTAACAAAGGAAAATTTGACCAAAGTCTGCAAAAAGTGATGTTTTTTCCCTTCACCTTATTGAGCTTTATAGCAAGCTTAGCAAAAGCTCTTTAAAGACATATACCAAACTCTTTCTACACTTAAGGAAACTGAGGTTCCAGAGCTGATATCTAAGTAACTTTTAAATCAGAAATAGGAGTAACATGCACATCTCCAACCATCAGAACAATATTCATTCCAATAGATGCACTCTTCTGTATTTCACCTCTGCTATATATTCTTCCCAAAATAATTTCTTATTTTTAGCATCCATGCAGGACATTTCCACCTGTGCCAGTCCACCCTGAAGATAACTCCAGGCCTGCTCAGGGTAGAGCATTTTGTCTTATGCCACAGGCTGGGATCAATAGCATTAAAAGAACTGCAGTAATGCAGCCCTAGAAACTACCATGTCAGGCAATCACTTCTTTGGGTAGAGAGAGAATAATTAGGATCTGCTCTCTGCAGTTACCAAAGGAAATCCCCTGCAGGCAAAGAGGTTTAGGCAGCTTCTCTTGTGTGTGGCCTGTAGCAGGTTTGAGTTTCTATTAATTAAACCCCACGAGGGCTCTGTGGCCTGCCCTGCATACACGCACACGCATACACAGACACGACGCAACCAACCTGGTCCCCGGTGCCTCTTCTCCATCCAGATGTAGCAGTTGTTCTGCGCGACGCCGGTCTGCGAGTCCAGGAAGGGCAGGCGGACGCTGCGCTCGGCGCACAGCCGCGAGTTGTAGCTGCGACAGTGCTCGATCGCCTCCTTGTAGAACTGGTCCCCGAGCCTGCCGAAAGAGACGGACCAGGGAGTAAGAAATACCGCACCGCCCTCGCAAGCAAGGCCAGAGGGGAAGGAGATATGACATTCATTTAAGAAATGGATGAGGAGAAATACTAGCTCCAAACACATGAAGAGTTTGTGGACTCTAGGCACTGCTGAAGCAGGTCATGCAGGATGTGCCACCAGAATATCAGGCTCTCAGGGCCCGGGCACAGAGCTTTTCAGTGGTGCTATAGCTACTGAATAGGTGAACAACGCGACCACATCATCCCATGACCCAGACTGAAGCAATGGGTACACCACGGTGATCCTGCTCTGCTGTTTCTCTTCTCCTGTAGTTTGTCCAGCCAAGTCAGGAAACCAGCATTTTCAATTTGTGTTGTGACAGCTTCTGCTGCATATTTTGCACAACCAGAATATTGGCCAAGTTTAGAAGAATTTCATTCCAGCATTTATGATGTCGAGGAGCATAATAAGAGCAAAGGCCATAATCCCTATTTTGAGTACTTCTTAGGCATAAATACACCTACAGGAGCATCTTGGGCCGTGTTTGCAATGGTGGGAATACACATTCTCTTTATACATCTGCAGCTTTGCACAGTCAGGCTTAAGGCACCAGAAGCCTCAGGATACAATAGCTACTGGTGGGATCCCACACGGCAAATCTCCTGTTTACAGACAAGTGGAATGAACTGTTCTAAGGTCACTTCTTTCATAAATATTTGTTCAAAAATTCTGTAGAATCATCATCTTCCCTAGAAAAGACCTTAAAACTCTGTCTGGTGGAGATTCCCAAATCCTCCCTCCAATGTTTCTAAAGATGGAAAAGCATCAAAGTAGGGCTACCCTGAGGACACAGAGCAGCTGCCATGCAGCAGTCCCGCAAAGTGGCTGGGCCACAGAGCTGAACCTCACTCTTGGTCAAGGTGAAGCAGCTGCCCAGCACGGTAAGGTCATTAGAAAGCAGGAGCAGCGTGATACACAGCACCACTTACTCCAACTCTGATGCCCATTAGTGTGCAAAAGGGGCATAAGACGCACAGCAAGGGAGCTGAAGGGATGCATGTGCACAGAGAGGAGAGAGGCTCCCTTTCCTGTCTCTCCTATTAACTGTTTTCCCTGCCACCCTCTACCATCAGGCACAATTGGTACTTTCACAGTATACTCCCTTGTACACCTCTGAATGTCAAATCGGTGCAAATTACTCTGTTTTACCATCTGTGTCTTTTTTTTTCTGAATGACTCACATCTTCTAAGCAACCCTTCATTTCCACTGGGTGACTTCCATGGGAGCCAAACTCTTCTCTCTGGGCTGTATGGCCTGATAGCCTCTCACTGACAAGGGTCAATAGGAGAGGTATATGGAAGAAGAAGAAGAAGAAAATGCACAGCAAAATAGAGAGGGAGGAGTGTCCAGTCCCTCCTCCTCAATTCTGACAATCAGAACTTTATTTCCACAAGTCCCAGGTTACCCAAGACTGGGGACATTATGTTTTATAGGCCTTGATGGACCCTTCTTCCATTATCTACCCTACTGTCTCTTAAACCCAAATACCCTTCTCATACCTAAACCACTGTGGGGCAATGAGTTCCATGGTTGAACATGGTCTCTGTAAGAAAAATATATTTTCCTGTGCTTGTTTTAAGTACATCCTGGGGCTCCACCAGGTTTGCCGAGGGCTGTCCAAGTGCTTCCTGCAGCAGACTCAGTTTGCAGAGCAACTCTCACATCTCACAGCACTTTCCTTACCCTGCCAGCCGGGGCCTCCCGGGCAGCTCTGCTTTGGATCTCAGCAGGGAGCCAAGGAGAGACATCCCTGGTCCACATGAGTCGTGGCGGGACGCGCTGTGGGCAGAGGACATACAAGGGGTCCCTCTGGACGTAGGATTCCTGGTAATGACCTCAATTCCCCTTTCTCCAGGAAAGGGACTGGGAAGCAAATGGATGCAAAGGAGAAAGGAAAAGATAAGCTGCACATACTGTGCAAAGAATGTGACTAGGAAGAAAGGAAAGCTTATTAAAAGCTGTAATTAAACTTGTACACTTGTGTAATCAAAGTCAGTAACAAGGAGACTCCAGTTGATCAAAGATTAAGAGCTCTTCCAAAAACACTTCAGTTTCAGCAGAGCTGAGTCAGATTCCTCCTATACCAAACCAGGGATGACCACTAACTCCTTAACTGGGAGGAAGAGCAGAGCTCTGCGAGAGCAAAGCATCACCAGAGCTCAGCTTTTCTTTATGCTAAAAAATTACTCCAACTAATGGAATAAGCACAGCACAGAGTGTCCCCGCTTAGCAAAAGAAATACCGAACATCTCAGCAAGCAAGATAGAAAACTAGCTGGAGATGAATTCAGTTTCCATCTTTCTATAACACTGAAAATAACCACAAATCTTTGAATATTAAACATTTGGCTTTAAATGATATGTCAGGTTGGGTTATAAGATTAAAATTTTCCTAAGAGGAAAAAAGGGGTTTGAGAGCCTAATATATTTAATGATCAAGAGGCTGCCAAGTTAGTGGTCAAATTCAGACTTCGGCATTTTGCAGGAGTTATGCTACTTACAGTCCAGCTGTCAGGTATATGTTATCTTAAGCACTTTATCTTAAGCACTTTAAATATGCATCTTTTGCCTTAAAAATATAATAATTTAGAAGAAGCAGTCAGACATCTCCTTACATTAAGAAAGTTTCCTTCTCACCCTTGGCTCCACTACAGTAAGCATGATCAAAAACCCACCCGCTGGCTATTCACTGGAAAGGTCAGTACTCAGGTACGGGGACCTTGAAGCCTTGCCCTGACTTTAATGCTGAAGGGAAGAATTTGACGAATAACAAAATACTGGGGAGACAGAATATTTCTTTATGTCAGTCATATTTCAGTGGAAAACAGCTTTTCTGAAATTACTTTTGATTGGTTGGTTGGTTGGTTTTGCCATTAGTCTTCACTGGAGTGAATCTCCCTTATCCTGAACTTAATCTTTTTAAGGAACTTTAACTTATTTGTTTCTTTGTTTTCACTATGGTGCTTGCATATCCAAACACCAAATCTGAGCGTATTATTCATATCAGGGGCAATAAAGGAAAGTACAGCCCCATTTTGCTAGTCACTGTACAGCCCAGACCCTAGGCTTCCCCTAGAAGATTTCCTGTCCAACTGGAGAATAGACAAGTCTGGGAATAAAATTGGACAGCAAATGAGTTCAGAAGAAACCCAAATGGATCATCTGAGTTTCACTGAGTGAGATACACGAAGAGACAAAAAATATAACCAGACAACATTAATAGTAAAATGTACACTATATGTCAGAAAGATTAATTATCTGATGTTGCACGTTTCAGAGTTTTCCCAAGCTGTGTTGCTATGGAAGAGCTACACTTCATCCCTCGAAATAATAGCTGTGAAAACTATGGGGATTTTCTGCATTATTTTCATGAGAAGTATGTATGACTCAGTGCTGCACTGTGGCTAACTGCAAGGGTCAACTCTTCCCTTTGGACATGAGAGTGAAAGGTCACACAGACTTGTCTAGATTGATATTAATGATATAAAACCACCAGTGGATGCAGAGATTTCAAAGAAGCTGGGGGAAAAACAAGGAGCTGACAGGGATAACTGTTGGCCAAGGAGGGCAGACTGAAAGAGTGCTGAAAATAGTATGGCCTGAAATGCAGAATAGAGTTGTCCACCCGCTGCAAAGGCAGTGCAGCCCCAGTGCACAGGGACAAAGATGAAATTCTGTGTGCTTGAGACCAGCAGGACAGGTAATACTGCTGGGATACATGCAAGCTTTGCGTTTTCATTCCAGCCTGAGGACACTAAAATAACCTGCTTCTAGCTGGCTAATAAAAGCTCTCTGCGTTGGGAGAAAAAAAAAAAAAAAAACAGCCTGTCTTATTAAAATCTCCAGCAGGCTACACATAAGCAGCCCCTTTCCAGAGAGGTACCAGAGAGGCAGCAAGGAGCCACAAGCAGGCGAGCGCCTGGCAGGACCCTGGAGCACAGCCAGGCCCAGGGTGAAGCCGACCCCGTGACTCTTAGTAGGCTGCTGTCCTCTTAAATGCTGAGAAGTGAAGGTTTTCTATGATACCAACCACCACATCAGTTAGTAGTAGAGTCAGGGAAGAAGAAGCCTTTTGCTCTTTGAGTCTCTCTCTGCCTGTTCTAATTAGACTACAGCATTTCAGGACAGACTGGGACTTACTACTTTTCTGCATGGTGCCTACTGCAACGACTCCTCTGTCTAGGCATGCCTTAAACCGAAAAAACAGTAAGAACTGGCCTGGCTACAAGTCAGCAATAACACCCAAAAGCCCAGCTCTTCAGGGACAATTTCTTTCTCTCGGAATTTGCCCGCCTCCAAGGGATTCTCAGGGTGCTTGGGAAGCAGCAAAGCAGTTCCCTCGTGCTTTCTTCCAGCCCGTCTGGCAAAGCCCAGGCTATTTGTGTGCACGACAGCTCTTACCACAGCTCCAAAACGGGAAGAGTTTAGTGCACCTTTCCTTCACTGCCTATTGTATTTCAGGTTGCGCTCAAGGCAAGGAGAGCCCTCGCTGAAGACATCTAAGGAACCAAGCTCGTTCCAGACTGCAGCCACACACAAGCCTGGAAAGCTGCATAAGAAAGAGCTGGTCTTTGTTAAGCACAGCTCTTCCATTCCCACCAGATCCTTTGTATTTGAATCCAAATTGCTTCCAGCTTCAGGGGCCAGGCCCTTTTCTAGTCATTTCCCTCTAAAAACATGCCCATGATACAGCAGTGCAAGTACAGAGCTGATAGCATAGAAACGGGAGACGAATCACTTCATTTTCCTTCTGAAGTTTGCAACAGTCCCCAGCCATGCTGGAATATGTAGAACTTGCTCTTCTCCTCAAGACCACAAAGTTTTCATTTACTACACTTGCAGGCTCTAGTCTTAATTTCTGATCACATAATACCGTAAGAAACAGTGATGGCAACTGAAAATTTTAAAACTGGCAATTTTAAACCCCAAACTGCTCTC